ACTGGCCGTTTGAAATAAAAAGATCTTTAACGTCAGTTTATCAAAATATTTATAGAAAATGCCACATTGTTTATTCATCAGATGACTTTGTTGTATGATGAAGATTACTATAAGCACTCGCGTAACTTGACCGAACAAATTCGTCAACTTTATATGATTTTTAACGCGTGTTAGCGTTTTCTCAAATGCTGATTTAGCCTGCTAACAATTTTATTAGCAAAAGCTCCGTCTCGCAAATGCAGCTAGATCATTGTTATTATCACTACTGTCTGTAGTGGTTGTCTTCAGTCCCAAATTGCTTATGGCTATGTTAAAAATTAGAAAATTAAACGATACTTACCTGAAGTCGAAGTTTGATTGAAATTCTATGAGTTACAGTTCAGGAGCTAGGAAGTCACCCAACCAAGTAAGCGACTTCAAGTAAGTCTTTTCATCACTGTTCTACGTCACTATGAAATCATGTGAGATTTTAGCAATGTGAACATGAGCAATAACTAATAACAAAGTTCATTGTTATTAGTTATTGCTCATGTTCTAAAAATTCACATTTTTGTATCACAAATGGCAGAAAGTAGATCATTGCCAAAGTTCTTTGCCTCACTTGGTTTATTATAAAGGTTTGAAAGTTTGTTCATTACGCCATGTAGCTGCATTCATAATAGTGTCCATAGATCTATTCAACGCCTTGCCGCAGAAGTTGATGCCGTTCTAGTACTGTGTGCACTGTAAACCTCAGTATTTATACCAGCATCCTTTAACGCGTATTTTAACCATCAAAAATGGTCATTGAAGTGACCAAATGATAAGGTTTTGATAGCTCAATAGGAGTTTCTTGTACCATTTCGTATGGGTGCAGTGGCATTTAGATAATGTGATAAGTAATTGAATACACATAACCCAGGCTCTGGTTGATAAGCCCGAAATCCTAAAGGAGCTACATGCTTACCAGGTTTAGATGTTTTAGTAGTTAGTGCACAAGAAAAACTGTTCGATCTACTTTCTTCATAATATGAGAAATATGCAATGCGTGAAGTGTTTGGCATCGCTGACCAGATAATAAAACTAAAAGCATTACTGTTTTTAGTGCTAATGATTTCAAATTGAGATCTTTCGGAGTGTGGAGTTTTCGAAGATATTTGAATACCGCTGAAACGTCCCAGACCATTGCATATCTAGAAAGAGCTGGTCTTGCAACAAATACATCTTTAACAAACCTAGCAATGAGTGGATGTGTACCAAACGAGATGCCACTTGGTAGCATTAGGATAATAGTTAAGGCGCTCCTTGCAGTATTAATCCCGCTGTAGGATAAACCTTCCTGGTATAATTTTGTAAGAAAATTAATGCCCTCTTGTACAGAGGATGCAACAGGATCAATGTTGTTTGCGTTGCAATATTGTCGTCAACGGTTAAGGTATGTAGAATATTGCTTCTTGGTACCGGTCCGGTACCGGTCGCAGACTGCTGGATGATTTGAGAGGCCTCTGGTGAAATGCCTTTATCAGAGAGAAGCTGCCCGATAAATGGCAAAGTAGTAGCTCCAGTATTGTATTGAGAGGGTGGATTTGATCCGGATGAGCTGGAAGACTTGACTGGAAGATCATTCTTCCCTCTACGTAAAACAACAGGATGTACTATTAGCATCTGCATTAAAGCTGGTCACCAACTTTGTGTTGGCCAGTTAGGGACTAAGACTAGTCTTGTGCTTTTATCTTGTACTATTTTTTGTAATACTTGCAGATTATAATAATATTTTTTGTAAACGACTATCGGAAAGTTGCGTTTCCCTTATAACTATAAGTAATTCACTTTCTATTGCATGCATATCTTTACATTTAGCGATGCTATTCAATATCTTTTGAGTGTCATGTTAACAACATGCCTAGTTGTACACGAGTATTTCCTTGAATTGTTCACGGTTGGTAAAGTACACAACTATATGCACTATTACAACAGTAAAGTACTTTAAAGTTTAAATCCAACACATGTATATTTAGATAGGTTAATAAGATGGAAAATCATTTAATAAGTATAAATAAGTGACTGATAAATGTCCCAACTATAACGATATGTAGAGGGCTCTTAACGCTGAAGCATTTAATAAAAAAGATTTTTGGAATATGACATCTGCAAACCTTGTAGAGGAAAAGAAGAAAATGTTAAAAAAATACTCAAAACAAATTCAAATGTAGTTACGAAATTGTTCCCATTCCTCGTATTTTTGGTTTTATTGAACATTCAACATCTGTATTATTTGAGGCTATACTTTTTACTTTCGTAAACACTTATAACGTTCACGTGACGTGTATAAAGTTTCGTGATGGTATTATTTGCAATGATATATTATTGTAATAATATAATGCACCGATGGGACATTATCAGCTGGAAAATTTAAACAATAAACTACAATCATCAACAATACTGTGGCTTATTTAACCTGCTTATTAAAACTAGGAGTTACAATTGCAAGGTAATTGCTGCTTCTCGCACCGAGTAGGCGAAAAGTGCCATTTGCACATTGCTATTGGATGTTTTCCATCATTTATTATCTGTCATAAGCGACACAATACCAAATGGACAAAAGCACGGTAATTTTTAAAACATAACATTGATATGAGCAACAAACTGCAATATCTTGTATATTTTGTCACTTAATATAGACAAATAAATTGTATCACCTTTTATACAAGAATATGCAAGAAGTAACACTGTATGTATGTATAATATGCTAATATTAAATTGGGAATAATTGACGAGCAGTATTCCAAAGCTCATTTTACAAAATTTGCATGCTAAAGGCAAGCGGTAGAAAAGCAATTGCTTCATTTAAGTTATTGATCTTTACATTTATATGTTGCAGTTGACAGGAAAGTTAGAACTCAGCCAATAACGAATTAAACCATGTTAAGTGGAGCTTAAAGGATGTTTTAGGATGCTTTACTTGCGACGATTATAGTGACGTCCTCGCAAATTTAACATAAAATTCATTGCTATTTTGAATGAAACCGTTTTGATTAGATAAATACTATATCATCACTTGCCGTCCAAACGCTTTGTAAAGAGTAAAATCGCCGTTCACGGATAAGTCGAACGAAATTTTCTTCTGTAAGTGAACAGAGTTAACAGAGTGATGAGTTTAACATGTCAAAGCAAAACTTCCTGTTAGTTCATTAGTTGAGTTGTCCTGGTAAAATTTATAATTCGTCTAAAACTCTTGTAGACGTTGTGGTCCAGTATCTATGAAGCTGAAATATTTATAGTTGTATAATTATGAAATGTGCGTGTCAGTCTATTCCAAGGTCATGTTGTGGTTATCAAATTGATAGATACTCTTCCATAATAGGCTGTACTACAACTCTCGGGCCCCGTTTACACTATACCGGATTGCTATCGTAGCAGGGTGAATGTTCTTTGTATTAAAGGCAATGAAATTGTTCAACGTCAGAAACACAATCAAATAGACTAAATCTATCAACTTAATAAGCTTTTACTCCGAACAGTTACCCTTAAAGCAAATGAAGATGTCGTGATGAGCGAATCCCGTTTAGAGTAAAAGCAGCCTCAGTTCGGTACTTTTCTTGGCCATCACATTACACACGTAATTTACGTAACGTAAATATTTTAAAACGAAAATCATTTGAGTTGCTTAAACAGTTATACTACATGAAACATTTCTTGGCTCTAGAACTGTAAAGTCACTATTGAGAGCTCTTACTTATTTATTGTCTACTTGTAATAACACATTAAATGTACTCTTGTCCACCATGCGGTCAATAAAATCTTCGTGCTGTTAAAAGTTCCGATGATAACATGAAAGCACATTGTGTTTCTAACCAAGTGAATCGCCTTGATGCAAATCAGCAACCGTTCATATAGCCATATGATTGCTATTATTATAAAATGCCCTGGAAAATCTTAACAGACACACGCCAAAACGAGATTTCACCAATATATAGGTCGCGGAAAAGTACTGCGTCGAGTAAATTGACTGTCAAGAATAGTGAGCAATAACTTTGTTGAAACTACAAATATGTAATAATATATTTTGAGACCCACTCATGTCCCCCATGAGTAAATTATATCATAACTTTGGATATACACAATGTAAAATGACAAACAGTTACAAACTCACCACCAAATTACTGCTAAAGAATTGATCTTTCAAATTATGTAATTGTCATTTGTTTTGATAGCATTTTACACGCAATATTTAGCTTTGAATTAATGTTGCACAAAATACGCTTCTTTAAATTGTTTACAAGTTTTATTGTGATGTATTTTGTCATAGGAGGCCCATAAATCTGTTTTATTTAGGCTTTTTATGCAATCGATTTAATAGTAAATATATTCCTATTTTGATTCATATGCAATGTTTATTACACGCACGACTAGCGAGTTCCACCTTTATATGGTCTAAATAGTCTTATATTTTGACTATATATTTTGTATAAGTTCATAGGTAATAAATTTATATAGGTTCAGGTAATTTTATTTATATGGTGTGAAAATTTTCACAAAAAGTAAAGTATTTTATGAGATATTTTGGACGAAACAATCACTATAAATCATAATAAACGGTTGCATAATTTTTCCGCGTCGCGAAAGAGTTTAAGGCTGCGTTTACACTATACCGGATTCGCTCATCACGATATCTTCATTTTCTTTAAAGGTTAACTGTTCGGAGAAAAGCTTATTAAGCTGATAGATTTAGTCTATTTGATTGTGTTTCTGACGTTGAACAATTTCACTGCTTTATAATACAAAGAATATTTAACCTGCTACGATAGCAATCCGGTATAGTGTAAACGGGGCCTAAGGGATGACAATTATGATAACTGAAAATTAACTTGAATTATTTAACAGCTTCTGCAGTTCTTTCTTGCAATAATCTGGTACATTGTATGGTCCACCAAATCCACACTGCCATCTCCGTTGCCGAAACGTGCCATAAATTCTTTTCTTTCACTGTTGGAGAAGTTTGTGGAGTGATAATGAAGCGCTTAAAAGCTAAGGAAATCGTCTAGTGTTTTATATCGTTGTTTTCCAACATCATAATCACTTGAAATGATTTCAAAGCCCATTTCCTCGATAAGGGATGTGGCTTCAGATTTAGACATAAAAAATTGAATCGGTTTCTTATCATTGATATCAGTCAAAGCGTTCTGTCTCTTTGAGATTAGGCATTCCACATATAAAGCAATTTCCGGATAGCCTTCGTGACTCTGGATAGCTATTTTGCCACTTGGTTTCAGACAGTGGAAAGCCGTTTGCAAAAACATTTTCTTTTCATCTAATGTAAGCCATTGAAACGAAAAATTGCTGAAATGGATATCGTAGAAAGATTTGTTTCGCTGTAAAAATTCACTTGAACTGTCGCCAATTTCAAATGAAACATTTTCGTTCACGTTGCAATTGTGTTGAATCGCGTAATGAATTCTTTCTATGTCTGGATCAACACCAACCACTCGACCTTTTTTTCCAATAATCTCCCCAATACACAAGGTCAGCTCTCCTGTTCCACAACCCATATCCAAAATTTTATCGCCTTGTTTAATGCCCACTTTTGTAGCGAGCTTCTTGCCATAATGTAGTTGAAGATTGTTATTTTCAGAGTACCTTGCAGCAGCCCCATAAATTTTCTTGTCAAGCACTGCTTCTAGTGATGATTTCATTATTTGTAAAATAATTTACAACTCACTGATATAATCGAAGTAGGTATTTACAACTTATCTTATTTATACGAGCCACTGCTAATTTCAATGTAAAGAATTTGTCGGCTTGCAGCACTCATTGAAACGTGCACATGTACTGATGACGTCATGATAAATGTAAACACTATAGCGGTAATTTTTCAATGTGGTTTCACTTCGAAAATTGTGATTTTTCTTGCGTCCACAGAGGAACTAAAAATTTTCATTGATTATGCTGCTGTACTAGTAACCACGTTAACTTTAGCATGTATGTCAATCGTTCAACTTTGTGAAAGAAATAGATTATTTTACATTGATCTCAGATTATTTTAAAAATCTCACGGCGACATTTGAATTAATAGCAATATTTGAAAACTCACGGCAACATTTGAATACAAATTCATTTATAACTTTTGAATATTCCCATACTAATGGCAACATTTAAACCGTTAACATTTGAAAGCAATGGCAACAGAATCGATTTCGGAAATTTTATTATGGTGCAAATGAAGGAAGTTTAATCATTGACTTATAGTTCAAAAAATATTAAATGGCGGAAAACATTAAAGAATAATATGAAATCTTGAACAAAGCAGTGGAGGAAGAGATCATACGTTATTGTAAATGGTTTCAATCAATAAAGAAATTCTCACTGAAAAATACGGTAAAGCAGCAGAAAGTAGTATTGCGAAGAGTCAAAAACATTTTGTCTTCGACGAAAAACAGCCATTATGATATGGACGTTGTAATGATGCAATGCGTGAAGGTCAGGTGAGGCCGAAGATAGTTTATGGCATGCCCTTCGGGAATACACCAGGCAGTGAATGCTAAGAGAGCTTATTAAGTTATCTAGACGCAGATTGAAGAGAAGCGATTACTGGAATCCTTACCAAATTCTTACTGGCATTGTGAAGGAGTTACAACTTGACAAATTTTGGCTTTCAATCTATGGATGTATAGACGGATGGAGCTTAAAACCCTTTGGTTATATGTTACTAAGTCAAATAACCATCAAGTAATATTGAAACGTATTTAGTGAACAATAATGCTGTCCGCAGATTTTATTACAGACCTTGGTACAGAAAATCTTTTAGCTGATTCAATTCACTTCAATGACATAATCAGTCATAGTATGCCACTTCAGAAACCAAAGGATAAGGTGTCATTCCCTGGAAAAGATCATGGAATTTGAGATGAAGAAGTACTGAATTTAATCTCCATTCCTGTCATGATAAGCTTTTCTTGAGCAAATATTTCAAGGTAAAAAATTTTAAATGAACAAAGTAGTTTACATCTTGAAAATCAAGGTATAACATTAAGTAACCAACAATTCATTTACAGAAACACCAGATGGCATTTATAAAACTTGCTGCTCGTTCTAAAGCATCTGAGAGTCCATACATATTCAATCACCAAACAATTTATCAGGATATTTTTGTATGTGATGTACCAAAGAGCTCATTAATTAACCCTGATTTGACCAAATTGTCCTTAATATTTTCAGAAAAATCATGAAAAATCATTCAATCAACGATTGAGTCAATATGTGATTCGATAAGAACTGGTTGCTTTGCCTCGTCTAGCGAAGCATTAAGAAAGATATTAATTCTCCTCGAAAGTGTTTGTTAGTTAACGATACATACGAATGAGTTTTTAAAGGTCTGATATGGACTTGATGACAGAAAATCCAGATGCTTGTCAATTTTTGTGTTTATGTAAATGATATGGTTTTGATGCAGATCTTTCAGCTGTGTTGGGAAGATTCATGAAAGCCTTAGAACACACTATAAGTGGACAACCTTCAAGATTACACAGAGGACAATTAGTCAACGTTAAAGCCGTTGGAAATCAAAGAAGAAGAATAACATAAACACAGAAGAATATTTGAAATGCCAGAAATGCGTCTGTGGTGTTATGGGATTTAACACAGGCCGTTACATAAACATATTCTCTACTTGCAGAACTCGACATTTTTTCTTGACTGATGATACTGGTTTCCGTTGTTGGATAGGGAGAGAAAGCACATACCAGTTGTATATGGTGTAAAGTCAAGTTTCAAGAAAGATATTAAAGTTTGAACATTCAAAGTTAAAGCATGAATTAAAAGAAGATTGACATTTAAAATTGAGAAAAGAAATATCACATTTTTGTTAATTTTTTAATGAACTGTTTTACGTGAAGGGAAGCTGTAGAATTGTTTGTTACACTAATACGGCATGCAAACATTGTGGACTGAGAATTGCATAGATTTTATTGATAACATAAAAATTCTGACTGATTTACTAAGCTTGTTGTTAAAATGAAAACAAAACTGTAACATAAGTCACAAGATTAGTTTCATTAGAGGGCTCTAATTTTAAGTTCTCCAGCTTATTAAAAGTTCACGTAAAACAGTTCATTAAAAAATTTAACAAAATGTGAACATATTTCTTTCTCAATTTTAAAATGTCAATCTTCTTTTAATTCATGCTTTAGCAAATGATTGACTTTTACAATATGCCATGACAAAAATTTCTTTAAACTTCCCTGACTCGCACATATGTACAACTGGTATGGTTAGCTCTCCCACAAGCTCCAACTAACGGAAAACACGTCGTGTGGTTTGGATTTTACCAGGCAATCATGGTCAAAATTTAGAGTAATCGAAGGTTTCTCTTTAGGTAGAATATGTTTATGTCTTTCCAGTGAGCCATCCCATAACACCTTTACAGACATTTCTGGCATTTCAAATAATTCTTCTGTGTTTATGTTAACATTCTCTTCTTCATCATATTTCCAAGCAACTGCTGTTGAATACCCGGTACTAATGTGTCCTCTAGTGAAATAAAAAAATCTTGAAGGTTGTCCACTATAGTGTTCTAAGGCTCTTGAAGATCCTTCCTCTGAAAACACAGGTTCAACCAAAGAAAAAAGATAATCTGCATCAAGAACCATATCAGCACATAAATTTTCACAAAAGAGAATGGCAAGCATCTGATTTTCATAATCATATCTCCAAGTCCATAAACATCCAGACCTTCTTTTAAAACTCATTCATGTATAGTATGCGATTGCTAACAAACTTTACTTTCAGGGAATTTATAATATCTTCAACATGACTTCCTCAACAACTCCAGTGTAGCCATTATCCAAAATGAAATCACAGTATTTGTACAATCAAGTCGAATGTCATTTTTTTTCTTTTTCAGTTAAATATTTATCATCAACTTTGGTCAAATCAATTGGTTTCTGTAATGAGCAATTTTCCATCACATACAAAAAAATATCTCGATAGTTGTTGTGCATCATGTTCACATATGATATGCTCTCTAGCATATAGTCTTTCAGACTCAAGAACAGGCAAAAGCAAATTACATTCACCATTCTGAAGTTCGGGAAAATAGTACAGAGAATCTGGCCTTCCTTGTAGAGTGTCATCTTGATTTTCGGACGTAATGTGAATTCCACAGCTCTTTTACTTCATTTAAATTTTTTTGGAGCAAATCTGCAAAAGAAAACCAAAGGCATTCCACATGAAGAGGAATGGAGAGGTCTACAGTTCCTTCTTCAGCCAGATCTTTAAAAAAATTGATCCACCAATTTGCATGATCTTTTCTCAGGAATGACCACCACCCTTCTATCCTTTGGTTTCTGGGTGAAGACACATACTTATGACTGCTTGGTCATTAAAAAATGAGTGAATGGCAGCGGCAAGGCCATTTTCCGTACCAAGGTCTGTAATAAAATCTGCAGGACAGCCATTAAATTGTTCCACAGCCTCCAAATAATACGTTTCAATATTACTTGGTAGATTATTTGACTTAGTAACATATAACCAAAGGACTTTACGGCTCCATCAGTCATACATTCATGGATTGGAAAGCCATATGGTTTTAACTTGTCATATCCGTCACAATGCCAGGAAAAATTTGGTCCAGGATTCCAGTAAATCCTTCTCTTCAATCTGCGTCTAGATCTTTCTTTCACTCCTTCTGGATCAAGCTCTCTTAAGTAACAATCCTGCCACAACGTCTCTAGGTACAGTTATTCCCTTCATTTGAAGGGCATGCCATATTAAACTATAACCTCGGCAACCTCCTGGACCGTCTAATTCCGCACGAATTGCATCACGTACAACGTCCATATCATAATGGCTGTTTTTTCGTCGAAGACCAAAATGTTTTATTCTTCGCTTTAATGTACTCATGCTAATCTGCTTACCGTGATATTTTCTTATGAAGTTAAGAATTTCTTTGTATTGAAATCCTTTTAGGAAATAATAACGTATGATCTCTCTTCCTCACTGCTTTGTTCAAGATTTTCATGGTCATCGACATCGTATTCTTTAATGTATTCTGCCATTTTATATTTTTTAGACTATAAGTCAATGATTTAACTTTCCTCACTTTGCTTCCGCCGTAAGAATTTCAAATGTTGACGTAAGATTTTCGTATTCAAATGTTGCCGTGAGCTTTCAAATGTTGCCGTGAGTTTTCAAATGTTGCCGTGAGATTTTGTATTTAAATGTTGCCGTGAGATTTTCGTATTCAAATGTTGCCGTGAGCTTTCAAATGTTGCCGTGAGTTTTCAAATGTTGCCGAGCTTCAAATGTTTGAGTTTTCAAATGTTGCCGTGAGATTTTGTATTCAAATGTTGCCGTGAGATTTTCGTATTCAAATGTTGCCGTGAGCTTTCAAATGCTGCCGTGAGTTTTCAAATGTTGCCGTGAGATTTTTGTATTCAAATGTACGTGACATTTTTGTATTCAAATGTTGCCGTGAGTTTTCAATGTTGCCGTGAGATTTTTGTATTTAAATGTTGCTGTGGATTTTTGTATTCAAATGTTGCCGTGACACTTATAGGCCACCGTAGTTAAGCATGTCGCAAAAGTTTTAACTCACAAGTTACATCATTCGCTCTTGCTTTTTGGTGTAAATTAATCTTTTATTGCTAAATGTAAAACTTCCGTGTAAATAAGGCAAAATAGAATTTGAATCCGTGTCAAATTCTGAGGCTAAGATTTGACGACCTTTAAGTTGACAATTTGTCTTCCGCTGATTTGTTCAAGGTTACTTTAACTTGTGGACTGATCTTGTAGGTGAGGTGTAATTAAGATATATCTAAGATATAGTTTTGTATAGTAATTTCTATTTGTAAAATAGTAAAATAGTATACCTTATTGAATGTATACCCCATTTTATAGAGTAATGAAAACGACTGAAATAATTATCCTGTTTTGGGTGTTCTGGGGTAGTAATTACACCAAAAAGTGGGACAATGCGACTGGAAGCTGGGGTAAATCAAATTAGTGGGTAAAATTACCGAATCTGGGGTAAAACTACTGTAGACATCTGGGGTAAAATTACTACAGACATCTGGGGTAAAATTACTATTGACATCTGCGGGTAAAAGTTACTACATACGTCTGGGTAAAACTACATTTGATAAAACAAATATGGCGGACTTTTAAGGAGTGAGCATGGCAATGCATTCTTATAAATGAGTTAAAATTATTATTTTAAGAGCAGGTGTATAATATGCTACGATGAACTTTATAAGATAAAGACTAATTTTATGGAGAAGGAGACCAACGTGTGTTCATGTCATGTGCAAGTAAAACACAGGCTTTCAGGTGAGTTAAAATCGGATTTTTCGTCAATATTTATTATACAACAATGGCATAATAACTTATGCACCGTTACACATACAATGCGATTTAGAACACGCCAAACTATCTACCTATTGATATCTCTTTTCAGTTTAAGATTTAATTCTTAACAGTAAACAATATTTTTACTCGCTTTACTTTAAGCTTATAGCTACCTAGCTCTGTGACATACATTGGTAACTTTTCATGAGAATTAGATTCAAAGTTAACGATTGGGGGGAAGGAGATAATAAGATTAACAATATTCTTTTGTCTAAATCTCGGTGGAAGTTAGTTTACTGAACAAGGCGTATTAAAGCAAATAAAAGCTTTAGAAAGTGTGCTACTGCTATTGATAAAATTTCCATACCTGATTATTATCCGGATATGCCAAGGCGTAGAAATGTGCTTATTTTGCTCGACACTGTATAAAATGCAAACATTATTTATTCTAAATGTTTCAACTGGTATCACTATTACATGCTCTTGTTGGAGCAAAGATGTGTAATATCTGCATGTGGAAACATTATTTTGGCATTATTGATTTATCATTATAGGTCAATGCCTATGTTGATGCACCATGTAATGCTCAGTAATAATATGTTGTAAACGTAGCACTGCTTTGTATTTTAATATTTTTTCTTGTTAAACTGGAACTTGAAACATAGGGCACACAAAAGTCTTCACTTGACCTTCATCTTTGGTGATCAAATGAAGTGGGAAAGGATACACAAGCTGTGTTTGTCTCACTATTGCCAAGGCTCCAATGTTGTTCACTTCTATAAAATGCTTTTCCAAAGCTACTGTGTGTATGCTTCAATGACAAAGGAAGAATTACTTAACTCTTTTCAACAATGCAAATGGCTTTAGAACTTCAAATCGTGGTAACTCTTCCTCATTGTGATCAACTCCACAACACAAAACCAGTTTTGTATGTTGTACCGTGAATAGAAATCCATTTTGGTATAAAATTACAGGTAAATTTTTAGAAAATTTTTTCTTTTTGGATTAGTTCATTGTATATTCTTTCCTTTTTGCTTATCAATATGTTATAAAATATTGTGTACAAAGTTTTACATACTGGTTAATTTTGCTGTTGGATGCACATTTTCTTGGTCTTTTATTTGATTGTAATATTCAAAGTCACCAGTATTACACGTTTGACGTGGCAGTTTATAACAAAAACATTAGTTTACACTTTGGAATGTCTTGATCATCAAATTTGTGGAATGGTTTCTTTTAGATGTTCCAACTATTAGCATCATATGCACATTTTAATATACTTACTTTTTGGGATTTCTTGGCTTCTCAATAAATGAAGATTCATGATTTTCACTTTGCAGCTGATAAGTAACCCATTGTTGATGTCTCATAGACATAGAGTATGCCAAGTTTATGAAGTTCCCAATGAATGAGCCTAGTCGTTTAAAGTAGTGATGCTTAGCTTTATACCGCATACACCAGGCATGAATAAAAGGCCATGACTAGAAGATAAATTAAAATTAAAATAACAACCTAGAATTTTTTCATGTACTCTTTCCCATATTTATTATTTAGAATATGATGGTTGTTGATCACCTCAATATCATTGTGGGCATATGGATCATAAAGTGCATTATTGGGATGATAGAACATCTAGGATAGAGCCTGCAAAACTCCTGGTGATGGTCATTGATGAGTGTCTGCAAGTATGCTACTTGATCTTTGGACAACGGTGAAAAGCAAAGGAATATTATTTCCAGCATTTGTAGGAAAAGAATCCAATGAGCATCTTACCGTGGAACCAAATCCCTAATTAACAATGGTAAATGAGTTGCTAAGCACCACATTTGTGCAACTGTAAAATTGTGAATCAATGAATGACTTGACTGTGGAGTGGACAATGTTGAACAAAAACTGTTTAACATTTGTAAACAGTTCTTATTTATCAGTTTTTACGTATGTAACTTACCATGCTGATTTAGACTGTTATCATTTGATGAAAACTTCTGCTCACAAATCAGTGTTGGCTTGTTCTTGTTGTTATGATATCCAAAGTCATAACTGGAAATGCGACCATTTAGCTCTTCCAAGGAAGGTAATGCTGTACTTTTATGTAATGTTTTAGCATTTCTTTGATTTCGTATTGTAACTTACCCTCCAGAATATCGTGCATTACATCAGGTGGTAAACCTCCAACAATCTTTTTTCACTGATGTTTTAGAAATCACACTTTTATTTAATATCGCAAGTAACATGTTTTTTTGAAAGGGGAAATTAAACCATTGGTACACATAAACTAAATTTGAATATGATGTCCTGCACTAGAGCACGGGTGAAATGTTTTTGCATGTGCTTTAATGTATGATGTACAATTAAGATAAGCAGTATTATCATTTTGATTGTTCAACTGCTTGCAAATATTTATCAAGCTTTATAATTATGACGTCATATTAAACAATAACTCTTGATATTTGTAAGTATAACGTCTTACTTACAAATAATAGTTTTTACTGCATTGCTGAAGCAAAAAAGGAATTTTTGAGGACAATCATTAAATAGTGACGTTGGCAACAGTTTCTAAAAACGATATGCAAAAGCTTTTGAATAAAAGAATGTGGTAAACGCTAAAAAAGCAACCAAGCTGGCTTTGAACATATTTTAAACGTACTTAAAGAAGAAGAACTTGAAGGAAAATTACGGAGTTTTTAAAAAATGTTGTGGGTCTATATATGTTATAAGAAATATTTTAGTTGGTTGAGGTGAGTCATAAAACAATTTTATTGAATTCATCTTTTGCCTAATGTCAAGAATTATTTGAACATCGGTGAACGTTATCCTCGCTTCGGCAGATACCATTGTCCTAGGTCAAACTTTGAATATTTATTGATGGCATATGGCAAAACTCATCCAAAAATTTTTATATAAATAATGATAATTTTTGTATGCGCTTACTTTGATTTTATGTAATTTAGATGGTACTTTGTACATTGTCAACATGAATAAATATACAGCTGAATACAACTTTTTATGTGTTACTTAAGAGATAAGAAAAGACTCTAGTCAAGTTGGCTACTTCTGATTAATGGAAATGTTTGGAAACGCTGATTGAAGTATTGAGATATTCGATCTACAGCTTAGCTGATGTGTACGGCGTACTTTCTCAACAAAATGGGGCTTTAATTTTTTGAAAACTTATTTATAAAACTTTTGACGATAATTTAATGTTTTTCCTCCATGCATTGATTACAAGTTTTTATATGCAGTTTACGTCAGAAAATATTGATATTGCTATATAAAACTGAATTATATCTTTGCTACAATCTGGTAAACTGTGGGATCAAAAGTCCACACTTCCATCGTCGTTTCCAAACAATTCCGCAAACATTTTAAACGCATTCAGCGAAAGCATTTCGCTCTCATGATAATCAGAAGCCACGACAAAGTTGACAAAATCACGGATTGTTGTATACCTATAAGTTTCTAGATAAAAGTCATTTGAATTATTTCAAAACCGCAATCCCTTAAAATAGATTCAGTTTCTGATTTATTCATAAAGAATGGAAGCGGCCTAATATTTACTTCATCTTTCTTACAAAGCGAAAATGGTTGATCGTTCGAAATCATTTGTTCAACTTGTTTCATCACGCAAGGAGTTTCCTGGTGACTCTGAATTGCAATTACTCCTCCACGCTTTAGGCTTTCGAAGGCAACTCGCACAAATTCTTTCTTTCTTTCTGGAGAAAGCCATTGGAACACAAAATTACTAAAATGGACATCGTAGTAGGATTTGTTTCGTTGAATAAACTCAGTCGAACTATCGCCATGCTCAAATACCACAATGTTTACGCTTAAATGCTTTTGCTTTGCGTATTGAATTCTCCCAAAGTCTGGATCGACACCAACCACTCGACCCTCTCTGCCGACAATTTCCCAAGAAATGAAGTCAACTCTCCTGTTCCGCAACCCATATCCAAGATTTTGTCTCCACGTTTTATATCAGCAGTTATTGCAAGTGTTTTACCATAATGCACTTGGATATCATTATTTTTAGAATAGGCCTCAGCAGCCTTGAATGATCGTTTGTTTAACACTTCTTTTAGTACTGCAGTCATTGTGTTGAAAGAAAATTACACTCTGTTTTATCAATTAGATAACGCGGTAACGATAATGTTTATATAAAACCGCTTATGCTCTCCTTTCTATGGAAACCTCCTTTCATTAAGCTTTTAAGGAAGGTTCAAATATACGTTTTGCAGGAAAGACGTCAATATGAGACGTCTGGGGAGGTAGGGGCTTAAAGACTTGACATCTTAAAGCCCCTCACCCCATGCACATTTTCTAGGTCTTTTATTTGATTTTAACATTCAAAGTCACCAGTTTTACATACGTTTGACCTGGTAGTTTGTCACAAAACATTAGTTTACAATTTGGAATGTCTTGATCATCAAATTTGTGGAATGGTTTCTTTTAGATGTTCCAACTATTAGCATCATATGCACATTTTAACATACTTACTTTTTGGGATTTCTGGGGCTTTCTCAAAAATGAAGATTCATGATTTCCATTTGCAGCTGATAAGTAACCCATTGTTGATGTCTCATAGACAGGGTATGCCAAGTTTTTGAAGTTCTAATGAATGAGCCTAGTCGTTTAAAGTAGTGATGCTTAGCTTTGTACCGCATACACCAGGCATGAACTAAAGGGCCATGACTAGAATTAGAATTAAAATAACAACCTAGAATTTTTTTAATGTATCCTTTCCCATATTTATTATTTAGAATATGATAGTGTTGATCACCTCAATATCATTGTGGGCATATGGATCATAAAGTGCATTATTGGGATGATAGAACATTGGATGGATGATGTACCTTACCATGTTTTAGATCTTTATCATTTGATGAAAACTTCTGCTCATAAATCAGTGTTGGATTGTTTTGTTGTTATAATATTCGAAGTCATAACTGGAAATGCGACTATTTAGCTCTTCCAAGGTAAGGTAATGCTGTACTTTTATGTAATGTTTTAGCATTTCTTTGATTTCGTATTGTAACATACCCTCCAGAATATCGTGCATTGCATCAGGTGGTAAACCTCCAACAATCTTTTCTCACTGATGTGTTAGAAATCACACCTTTATTTAATATCGCAAGTAACATGTTTTTTAAAAGGAACTTAAACCATTGGTACACATAAACTAAATTTGTTACGTACTTCGTTATAAGTACAAACCAATTTACATGCACTTCTATACTTTAAGTGTTTCATTTTGCAGCTTTTCAAAGAAACTGTGCTATTCTTCTAACAAAACTACTGGAGAAAAAATCATCAAGAGGAAGAGATGTCATAGAGTTATTGTGCGTAAGTGCATATACTGATGTAATAACTTTGTAGGGAAATGTACAAAGGCAGTTTACCATTACCCATGTGCTACTGGAGATCCTATTTTCCTACCCTATAGACACCGTAACTTCCTTAACTAGGTAGTTGGTTAATCAATATGCTGAACACGACTTTCGTTTAAAACGTCGAAGAACCAATTATTGCTGTCAAAGCGCCATAGAGAATCATTGAAACGCAAGTACTCAAAGTGGCCCCAAGAAATAAATCAGCATAACATAAATCCTAACACGGTTTTATATGCACATGAAAACATGTGACTTGGCAGCCTCGAATAATCGTTTATTTAACACTTCTTTTAGTACTGTAGTCATTGCATTAAAAGAAAATTACACTCTGTTTTATCAATTAGGATAACGCGGTACGAAAAATGTTATATAACACCGCTATGGTGTTCTCCTTTTATGGAAACCCTCCTTTCATTAAGCTTTTAAGGAAGGTTCAAATATACGTTTTAGCCGAAAAGACGTCAATTTGACGTCTGGGAGGTAGGGGCTTAAAGATATGACGTCTTAAAATTCTCTCGAACTATACGCTCATAAACACTGAGTATTAAGAATTTTGACAGCCAGTATGACAGCTAATTAGTGTCAATTACGACAAAAACATGCAGTTTATTAGAGTATCTGATTGCTGTGTTTGTTGAACAACTAATTCCAGTTATATGCGTATGAATGCACACATATAATCAGCCGAAGATTAAATCAATAAAGTAAGTATATAGTGAAAGAATTACCTCTAATGTAGCCTGACGTCTTTAAGAACGGGAGGGTTGTGAGAGACGTCATATTGACGTCTTTTAGGCAGAAATGTATAGTTGACCTTCCCTAACTCAGTGTGACTGTGTCGACATCATATTATTCTTTGTTTGAAGACGTATTTGTTGTAGAAAAATAATGCCAACATGCACTGTCTTTTGATGTCGTATAGTGGTTCATTTTTTAAAGCAATTGAAGCACTACAAAGATTGCCTGTGGCAGCGACACAAATGATTTTTCAGACCATCAAAAATTGTCTTGTGATTGCTATATAGAATAAAGGGGAGAGAGGAGAATTTTTCCTTTCGATAGTAACTTCTAGTGTTTATATTTGTTATGACGTCATGAGTACACGTGCACGAGTCAATAAAAGATTTGCAAGCCGATGCCAATACTTTCTTTAAAATCAAAGTAGGTGGGCTTTATATGTATAAGATAAGTGGCTCGTATTTATTTAAATTATCTCATTGATTTCATTTTCTAAATAATGATAACATCACTAGAAGCAGTGCTTAACAAACAAATTTATGGGGATGCTGCAAAATACTCTAGAAATAACAATTTTCAACTACATTATGGCAAAAGCTTGCAATAACACTTGGCATTCAACAAGGCGATAAAATTTTGGATATGGGTTGCGGAACGGGAGAGCTGACCTCATTTATTGGGGAGATTGTAGGAAAAAAGGTCGAGTTGTCGGTGTTGATCCAGACATGGAAAGAATTCACACGCTATTCAGCACAATTATAAAGTGAATGGAAACGTTTCATTTGAAATTGGCGATAGTTCAAGTGAATTTTACAACAAAACAAATCCTTTTACGATGTTCATTTCAGTAATTTTTCCTTTCATTGGCTTACATCAGATGAAAAGAAAGAGTTTTGCAAACAGCTTTGAATGTCTGAAGCCAAGGGGCAAACTAGCTCTTCAGAGTCATGACGGTTATCCGGAAATGGTTGCCTATGTGGAATGCCTTGTCTCAAAGACGGAACGCTTTGAATGATATCAATGATAAGAAACCGATTCATTTTTATGTCTAAAGCTGAAACCACATCCCTTATTAATTAATGGGCTTTGAATGTTTCAAGTAATTATGATATTGGAAACAACGTTTTGAAACACTAGACGATTTCCTTTAACTTTTTAGCGCTTCATTATCACGCCACAAACTTCCAATAGTGAAAGAAAAGAATTTATGGCACGTTTCGGCAACGGAGATGGCAGTGTGGATTTTGTTGACCAAAAAGTTACCAGATTATTGCAAGGAAAGAATGCAGAAGCAGTTAAAGAGCAATTTTCATATCAGGAGACGACTGCGAAAGCTATTAAAAATTGATTTTAACCCTGTAATGAACCCACAATGTGATTTCTATAGCTAAAATTATTTCCATTGACTTTTATACTCACTTGGAGTCATTACTAATGAAATAGTGAAAAAATTGTGTTTAGGTCCTATTTTGGCCTCATTGTTACGTGACATATATGTAACACCGGGCTAATTGTGGCATAAAAGATAACTTTATGCACTTCAGAATGGTTTAAAGAATACATGTTATGTATGAATAATGGTTTCATGCACTCAAATAGCAGGGCAAAATGGCAATTTATTAGTCAACACAAAACATGGTTTTTAAGAATGAAAAAATATGTTTTGTAATGCTATCACTGATGGAAATCATAGAAACAATTAGATTTGAATAAAAAAATTGAACATTACGACTCATGACATCACAAACAGGACTGTATGCAGTAGCAGATTCCCAATACCGTTGAACTCACTCATCCTTACAAGCCCCATATGAAAAACATACCAACATGTTTAATTTCTTTTTATTATTAGTGTTTATTGAGTTTCCAGATCTCTTTGACACTGTATCTATTGGTGCTTGTCACCAAATTTTGAAGCATATCATCACTCACAAATTGCTTAAAATATTGAAGATAGTTTTTGTTTCCATGTTCACTGGGCTTCAACGCTTGACCAGTAATGTTACACTAGTTTCCACACAACAAATGAAGTTTTTCTCCAACTGCATTTGTTCGTGATTGAAGCTAGGGGCATGTTATCATCATTGTCATCACTTATCATCGATTTCTACACTCACATTTTCAAACTCACCATCATCATCACTGCTGCCAGAAGATTCTCCTCACAGAAAATATTTCAAATGAAAAAAGTACTGGAGTTAGCATGATTGGCTTCTTGAATAATCAGCCTTACTGAAAATTGTTGGACAAGTTTATTTTGTATTTTGAAATTTTATAACAATCAATCTTTCTTTATTGCTATTATATTTCTATTTTGGTTTATTCCAGTGTCAGTTAGCCGCTTAACAGGAAATCTAAATTTAATTTTGTACAAAACCAATATTAATCAGCAAAGCTTTTACCTGTATCTGTCTCTAACATTCATTGTCACTGCTGCTATCTGAATCACCCATCACTATTGTCACAAGCAAGGATGTCAAGAACATTGTGAGTATTAAAATGTTGTCCTTCCATCACCTAGAGATTTCATTCTAGTGTTAGCAAGTCAGTCTACA